CACAATTCTCCGCACATTTTTTACAGTTTGGTGTTGACCTAAAGTTATATATTCCTCTATACTTGCATATAATCTGCATTATTAACGCAGCAGAGGAGTCTCTACGCTCTGACAGGAGCGATAAGACTAAGGCGCGATTCAATAAATAAAGTACGTTTACCCTCCGCGTGTCCCCTATAACAAGCCTAGTTGTCGTCTACAGAATGGAAGTCGACGAGAATGGAAGATGCGCGTCGATATCGCAATTATTCCTCCGCGTCCGGCGTAAGAAGGATGTGATCGATCGACCCGTGCGCCGATCGACCGAGATCGAAGAGCCCGCGACGAATACACGCGATAGAACGCCGGGATGGAATACACGCTGACGGAAATAGATCCGGCAGTTGCTCCAATGCCAGTTCCGCCGTCGTGTTCGAGCGGTTGCAAAATTCATACCCGGCCGTCGCTGTCACCGGCTCGCCTGTGCCCGCGCATGCACACGGGGGGGGGGGTGCCCTCACGGGGGTGTCGAAGTTTTCTTAATAACGGAATCCCGAATTCCGGCTGTTTCCCCCTCGAAGTAGGTCGTGTGGCGCCGCGCGATTTCCTAGGTCGTATCTCCATTTCCGGCGCGAGAGAGAGAGAAAGAGGGAGAGGGAGAGAACGCGCGCGCGAGAAATTCCCTCGCGTATATCTATGCAAGCGGCTTCGTATCGGAGTTTCTCCTCCTTTGGGACATAATTTCAAAATAGGTAGGTAAAGAGAGAGAGGGAGAGAGAGTGAATTACAGTCCTTAACGCCGCGGAGACCTCGCACCGAGTTTTAATAAGAGGATCGATGGCGAAGTACTGTGCGAGTACGACGCGCGGGCTCGACCCGGCAGGTTACTTCGCTTTGACTTGGAGCGCTATACTCTTACTTCGTTTATTTCGCCCCGCGTCCGGATCTCTTTCGCTCGCGGCTCCAAGAGGGATGAAAAGGAGACCCCCACGTGTCTGCACAGCGCTAAAGTGTTCCGTATGCACGTGACTACTCTCGCGTAGCGACGCGCCAACGGCGGCGGCGACGGCGGCGGCGGCGGCGGTGGCGGCGGCGGCGGCGGCGGCGGCGGCGGCGGTGACGGCGGCGGCGGAAGTGGCGGTGACGGTGGCACACGATGAAAAGTTTTCTCGTATATCAAGGCGAGACTGCGGAAAAAAGAATGTGTCGCGTCGCTTCGAGCCGCGTGCATGCGTGCATGCGCGACGAATGAAATCGGTTACGGCGCGCGCACGCGTCTCATCATTCGGATGCGGGACGATTTCTCGCGCCGAACGTAGCACAGTCAGATGGAAAATCCTGGAGATATTCGAATTCCGAGGGATAGGATTGAAGAGAGAAAGAGAGTAAGGGGGAGAGAGAGAGAGAGAGAGAGAGAGAGAGAGAGAGAGAGAAAGAAAAGGGGAGGGAGAAAGAGAGTCGTAATATCAGCGCGGAATTATAATGTCGTAAACATCTGTTCCGATATCGACGCTAATAACAATGCATTATCGCGAAGCGCGGGATACGCAGGGCAATTCTGAAAATATCCGCACACTTAATTAAATAATATTTAAATATATAATTCGGCCTATTAAATGTTTAATTGACTCGCCTGTTTATTGCTACGTGTAATAAACTGAGCGACTTAATTACGAATCGTCGCGAATTGACGATGTAACATTAATTCGCCGAGCGCGCGAGGAGCGCGTGTGCGTGCGCGAGATGCCTCGTGCGTTGTTGGCTTTTTCCCCTTCGTTGAATAAATTGCAAAATCGCGACGATTTTGTTATTTACACGACTATTAAGGAAACAACCGCGCCACTCCGCGGGACACCGTCGAGCACTCCGTTTTTTTCCACGATCGATCGATTCGAGACGTTTTCACTGACGACACGATAACACTCAAAATGTGACAGTGAATTAGAGACGTCAAATACAGCGGAGAGTACTTTCTCGTGTATAACATTCGGATTGTGCGATGACCGATCGATACGCCGAGCACGCGATCCCGTTTCACATCGGAGCGGTAACTGAAAATTCGGAAAACGGCTCGCGCGTATTTTCCGACATCGTCGTTTTTAAGCCCGTATTTGAGATTCATCGGCGGAACGGTATGACCGATTAATTTTTTAAATAAACGCGTATGATATCGCGCTCGCAGTCTATTAATCGCTCGGTTATGCGTTACATGATAAATGAAAAAAAATCACGATTATTAACTGAATAAATATTCCAAAAAAGAGAGAGAGAGAGAGAGAGAGAGAGAGAAAGCGAGAGAAATTGTCTGTAGTAATTGTCGATGACACGCGGTACGCGCGCGCGCGTTCACTTTTTTTCATCTCACCGCGTGTAACGACAAAAGAAGAGACGAAAGTAGGCGAAAGAAGGCGACGCGGAGGGTGAGCACACGGACTTATTGTCGGTGCAAAGCGCACTTAATAGCGGCACATGGTACGTCTTATCCTGATAAAAAGTGTCACCAGGGGAAACGGCGTTTTACCGGCGAGAAGGTTAAACGGCGAATAGTCGAAGCGATCGCCTCGGGAACAGGAAAAGAGACGGGGTTGGAGGAATCGGAGGAGGAGGAGGAGGAAGAGAAGAAAAAGAAGGAGATGAAAGAGAAGGCTGCTTACGTTTTCGGTTTTTCCCTTCGCGCTCAAGTTGGCGTTTCGCGTTTAAACGGTTCGTTAAGTTGATTCTCTCTCTCTCTCTCTCTCTCTCTCTACCCCCCCCCTCTTTCTTTCTCTCGCCCTCCGGTTAGATTTTCATTTAATTTAACGACAGCGCGGCTTTTTAGCCTCCACTCGCCACTTGCTTTTTCTGCTTTCGGCGCACCCGATGCACCGCGACGACGACGAGACGCTAACGAGCGTGTCTGCAATTTTTGACGAATCTCACAGCGCCAGGAACTTCGCCTTCCGCGCGCGGACCGGTAACAATGCAAACGTCATTAGTTCGTCCGTCACGCGCGGATTAAACGGCTACGTAGAAAGAGTTCGAAGAGTGCCATCGACGCACGGCAGATAAAACACGTCGTACTTCGCACGTGCACACGAACGTGCAAGCCCGCGCGACGGCGCGTGCCCGTAAAATGTTTCGCGCCACGCACTCGCGTCTCAAACTTATTACGCTTAATGAATGTCCGCGTCATCCATTAGCGCGCGATGTCGCGCGCGCTTCTACGCTGTATAATGTATGTACCGTAGTGGCGCAATCCAAGCGCGGTGGGATTACCAGGTGAAGCAGCGAAAGAACGGCAGAGGAGATAGAGAGGAGAAGGCGGCCGCGCGCGCGTTTACCTGATTTCACTTTTGCAAGACCATCGAAAAACTGTCGCGCGTCTCGAGTGGCGATAGACAGTTACCGATAATCCGTCAAAAATTGATTCTCGCGCTTTCCACCTGTCGATACGCGTTAACGTATGCACTTTATCCGTCTACGATTGCGAGCGGCGATCGCGTGCGACGAAAAAACGTGGAATGCGTTGCGATGTGCCGCGTTGAAATGGGAGAGAGAGAGAGAGAGAGAGAGAGAGAGGACGTTTGTCCGAAAATGGAATGCTCGGCGGGACGACCTTTACCGCGAAATCTACTTACGGTAGACTTAACGACTTCGCCTCGCGGTTAGCGAGAGAGACCAGAAAGGGGAGAGACGGGACGAGAGAGCTGTATGGCCGCGCAATTAATTCGCTAAGTTCCACCGGCGAGCGTAAATCGATGCAAATCCTCGAACAAAATCCTCCGCGACGCGCCGTCTCGTAATAACTTGGCGCGTCCCAACAACGGATTTGCCGAGATCCAAACTCCCGTTAAGATCATCGCGCGATCGCTACGCCACGATCCCGTCCCCCGGCGCCCGGCAAAATCGAATTTAACTCGTCGAGATACCGTATGCGGCTCGTACGGCTGCAATTATCCGAGAGGCAATTTCTGCAACGCCGTAAAGCTGTCTCGCGTGGTCCTTAACGATTTAAGGGGAGAACGAGCGAGGAGCGAATAGAAGAGAGTCCTGTCGCTTTTCAACGTCGCGCGAGGATTCCCGCCGCTCGGCTCCGGAATTCTTTTGCAGAACTCCTCAAAGTCGCGAGACAACAGACGCGAAAAGGGAGAAGCGCAGGAACGATAAAGCGAACGAAACAAGATTTACATCGACGAGACAGAACGAGAAGAGAGATGTGCAAAGGAGAGGGAAGAGGAAAGCATAGGAATGGAGAGGAGAGGAGAGAAAGAGAGAAGTCAAAGAGAGGAGAAGAGGCGCCTCGATGTTGTATATGTCACCGCCAAGACAGCTTTTCTTTCGAGAGACAAAAGTACCTATGCGAGCCGGCGGAGGGGGGAGGAACGCGAGGAGACCGAAGGCAGGAAAAGTACCGTCGCGAAATCGAGGCGAAGAACAGGCAATAAAATTCATCTCGGTAAGCTTTCGTCGCGCGAAACCTCGTACATTCCCGTTTGCGAGCGAAATTGGCACGAATGTGGAAACAACGTTTGAAATCCACGGCGTTGCACCGAGCGCGCGAGTGTGCTACCGTGGAATTCTTTCCGTTCTTGAAACTCTCGACGAAACTTCCGACGTTACGTCGCGACTTGGAGCGCGCGCGCCAAAGTTACGTGTTCGATGTTATCAGATTCTTTACATCTTATTACAAACAGAAGGAGACGCGGAAAGATGCACGCGACAGATACACGTACGAGAAACGGAGACGAGAATCATGGCTTATACATTAACGCAAGCTTATATATCACTTACTATACAGCGCACCAGTAGTTCTCCTCAGGTGAAATGAACCGAAATATCAAGGCTATTTGGCTCGATCGAGAATATACGAAGAAACGCGAGTACATTGGAGGGAAGGCGAGACGAGAGGCAGAAAGGGGGGTGTGAGAGAGAGAGAGAGAGAGAGAGAGAGAGAGAGAGAGAGAGAGAGAGAGAGAGAGAAACGAACGAGCGAGGGGAGAAAGAAAGTAAGAGCGAAAGACAAACAGTTGGCAAATTCTTACCCTGATGAAGCGCGGAGCGCGCGACCCCGTGCACGACGCCGTCGATCCCCACGAAAATGAGAAGCGGTGCCAAGGCGGCGAACATCGGGACTGTCCTGGAACGCGCGGCACTCGCACCGCGGGCCCGCGGCGTCATCCCTGTGTTCCTCGTCGCGCACTCTCGCGATGATCTCCCCGATCCTCGCGCTTTTCTCCCCGGGTGCAATGTCCTATATCACCCGCGATCGCTCTTCCCTCGCGATTGGTCCACGATTAGCGCACCTGGCGGTGTCGCCTGGAGCGCCTTCTGCTGCGCGCCTGGCACGTGCTCCGAGCAGCAGCTCCCGGCCGACGAGCGGCGGCTCCGCTCATCTCCGTGCGTTCGTGCGCGTAGCGCGAGGCAACACTCTCCTGTGCTGGACGAGCGGAGGTGTCGCACCGCGAGCACGGCGCGCGGTAATCCGGAAGAAGAGCGACGGGTCGGCGGTACGCATCGGCGAGGCTCAAGGTCACCAACACCGCGAATCTACGTGCTACAAGGTAGACGAGCAGACAGAGGGGGTGGAGAAAGAGGGAGAAACAGAGAGAGAGAGAGAGAGAGAGAGACAGAGAGAGACAGAGAGAGAGAGAGAGGGAGAGAGAGAAAGAGAGAGAGCGTGATCGAACGAGAGAAGGACCGCTGGTGGGTAAACCCGAACAACCCCGCGTGAAAAGACACTCCGCTCCACGAGAGAGGATCCGCGACGAGAGAGCGTTTGCAACCCCTTCTGCCGAGGCCTGGTCCTGGTCCCTCTGTCCCGGGCCGTAGACTGCTGCCTGGAAACCCTCGGAGTACGGAGTACGCTCGTACCTCCTCCTCTTCCTCCTCCTCCTCCTCCTCCTCCTCCTCCTCCTACTCTTCCTCCTCCTCGTCCACCTCCGCTGCCTCTGCGCCGCGCGACCACCCCCGACACTCCGTTCGCCCGTCCCGCGACTCGCCGCCGATAAACTTCCTACGGGCACCCTCCGATACTCTCTCTCCCTCTCCCTCTCTCTTTCTCTCCCTCTCGCTTCCTCCCTCTTCGTCGTGCAGCCCGCACCAGGAATATCTAGCTGGCGCTTGCGCCGTCCCAACCGTGCCCTGATGCCCGGGCACTGCCGCTGCCACTGCTGCTGCCTGTGCCTCTGCCTCTACCTCTGCCTCTACCACCGCTTTCTCGTACCTTGGCGAATCTCTCTTCCATCTGTCTGTCTCCCTTTCTCTCTCTCTCTCTCTCTCTCTCTCTCTCTCTCTCTCTCTCTCTCTCTCGCTCTCGCTCTCGCTCTTTCTCCCCCTCGCCCCCTTTCGCTGTCTCTCTCTCTCTCTCTCTCTCTCTCTCTCTCTCTCTCTCTCTCTCTCTCTCTCTCTCTCTCTCTCTCTCTCTCTCTCTCTCTCTCTCTCTCTCTCTCTCTCCACCGTCGCGCTCACGCCGGCTATTCTTTCCCTCTCCTCATCGGTGGCCCTTCGCGCGCGGGAGACCTTACAGTAGCTCCCGCGACCTCCCGCGCTTCTCCCTCTTTCTTTTTCGCCCTCTCTCTCTCTCTCTCTCTCTCTCTCTCGACTCTCCGAATTTCTTCCCTCGAACGGTCCTGCCGCTCGCCAGGACGCGCACGCCGCCGTCTCGGGATCCACTGCTATACCTCGTCCCCGCCTCCTCTTCTCTTCGGAATCTACCCCGTTCCGGTATCGGCTAAGTGCGTCGCGGATCATCGAGGTTAGCGTCGATGACCATCGGCACGAATCACCGCTCGGCAAATCGAAGACAACGGACGCGATCGCGACTGACTGTTTAGCGGATACGATCGTTATTAGCGGAACGGGACCGGCCGGATGCTCAGCCGGGAGCTCGCGGGGATAAATGTCACCCGGCCGAGTCTCTCTCCCGCGACGCCTTCGCTCTGAGATACCACTTAATTCCAGATATTGTTCCCGGAGTTAAGAGTTACGATGGTCGCGCGAGTAACGTATGTCACGCGCGAGTGACGCTCTCTCGCTAGATTAAGCATCGCCTTACTCATCCAGCGCTGATCGCGCCGCGGCGTGACCCATTTATCGCACGGAAAAACGATTTACGCGACCCAATCATGTGCGCACAGGGCGATTAAGTTGTACGAGAACTGATTAACCGTGGCCGCGAGCAACGAAAAAAAACACCGCCGATGCGGCGCGATACATGAGTCCCTCTCTCTCTCTCTCTCTCCCTCCCCTTCTCTCTTTCTCTTCTTCTCCGTTTCTTTCTTCCCCTCTTTTTCTCCAGCTTTCTCTCCTCTCTCTTCGTGATATCTGCATAATATAGATATCATATTCCACGGGAATAAAAAATAAATCTCGCTTCGAGGCCAATGGAGCTGTCTCCATCGCGTTCCCATGAGAACGATTTCCGTGCCGGTAGAACGGAAGAAGAACTCAGAGGACAGCATTAGAAACGATACGAACGGTCGCGAAACGGCATTTCCGTCCAGCAAATTCGTTATCACATCGCCGATTTAATAAAAACATACGCGCACGGGCGTTGCATGTGTGTGCGCGGGTGCATGTGCGGATGCATGTGCGGGCGCATGTGCGCGTACGTGTGCGTGTTTATCTCGAGTCAATATATTTCGCGCGTTGTAACCGCGGCGAATGCTACATGAGCCGAACGAATCCGCGCGTGCGAAAACAGCTCGTACGGAATAATTTCGGACCGTACGTTTCCACGAGTATATGGAGTACTCGCGCAAATGCCCGTAGGAAAAATCCTGCGGTTGTCATCATTAAATCGAAGTTCTGCTGCTATTTTTGGCAAGGAAAACCGTGCGGAGAAAACAGAGCGACGATATCGAACGTTTTCGTCGAATTTTCTGTTTGAAGGAAAGATATGACGACAGTCCGCTCCTTATGGCGGCACATTTATCATTTCGTTTGTTAAACTTCGTCCCCTCCTACGTGACTTTTACTAGACTCAAGCGGTGGGAAAATTGCGGTATCTTAAACACATCTTTTCGTTTGCGAAAAACTTGATTTATTCGGTAACTGGTCGCGCCAGGACGTTGCATTTCAAATCGCTACGCGCGTAAAGTACTCTTCGCCACGTAGCACGCAAGATATCAATACTTCGTCGCGACTCGTTCAGTCTCGTTCCATCGGGGAGATCAGCCCGGCCTCACCCAACGTGTGGCCAACGTGTGGCCGCGTTGCCGATCACTGACACGCTGGCCCGCTTGCGAGAACTTAAACGCGCTCCGAGGAGATCACGACCTACTAGCGACGACCTACACCTACCAGCCGTTCGCGCGAGGAGCGTCGAGGAGCGACGAGGATGACTGCGCAGGAAGGAAGGAAGGAAGGTGGCTGGGTGGTCGAGACAGATCTGAGCTGACGCTATGAGAATACGGGAGGTGGAATTTAGAATGATGGAAGTGATTGTCCTGAAATTACGAGGTACGATCTCCGGCGTCGTTAGCAGATTCGAGCTGCCGCCGCCTCGCGTCTACGTGTTGTACGAACAAAAAAGGAGGGAGACCCGAGGGAGAAAGAGAGAGAGAGAGAGAGAGAGAGAGAGAGAGAGAAAGGGGGGGCAATTGAGTAATCGAGTAATTAACTTTGAGATTCGCCCGGACCGATCGTGGAACAAATCTCGGGTGCGTCGAACCGTCAATATTTGTCGCGCTTCTTCGTCGCGCAGCAATAATTCCCGAGCGGAATCTCAACGGACGAAGGATATATTTGCCAACTGTGCTTAATACGTGCGGATACGCGCTATTGCTGGTCGTCAACAGGCTAATTTCAAAGCGGCCGACGGCATTCGGGAGGCCGACCGAACGATAAGTTCCGACGTTCCGAAGAAAACAACAGTATACGGTAGCGGCGCTACGAAGACGACAGCATGACAACACGCAGCCCGTATTAATCCGCGGACAGTTAAGGACGATTAATCGATCGGCAGCGCGGCGTCGCGGCGGCTAACTAATCGCGACCAGGTGACTCGTATCGCGCATTATTACTCACGAATAAACGCGACTCACCGTTGCCTCGACATAACGACATAACGCCCTGAACGTGTACTAATGATATCGCATATATCGCGAACAAGCGCACGCGCGCGTTCAAGGCAGCGAAATGACGACCGGTGTGCACCGGCCGTGCGAGAGCACCGAGAGTCGAGGGCACGAGAGAGAGAAAGGGGAAGGGGGAGAGAGGGAGAGAGAGAGAGAGAGAGAGCAAAGCGATTTGAGAATTTACTTCGGGCTTTCTATCTATATGCGCGTTGTAATATGCAACAACGAAGTTCGCGTCGATCTCAGATGATCGGTGTTAACGAGTTTCATTACAATAGGGCGCGCGAGCTTCCGCTAAGACGACTGACTAGTAGAGAAGGGCGATAGGGAGCGGCGAATTAAGGCCGATGGCGAGCGATTGTTCCGAAATTACGACGAGCCATCGTTAACTCCCCGCATCGTCGCGCGCGAGCGCGAGCGGGCTAGCCCGTCGCTGATTAACTTTTAATGATCTCAGATTAAGCCCCGCCGCGGCTATCACCGCCGCCATCGGCGCATCCCGATTGCACGAGGCTCGTCCTGTTACATATTTACGTGACGGACGAGTTATTACCGTGCCGCGCGTATCGTAAAACACCGACCGAAAAATAAGCCGCTAAGCGGGTTAGAGCGACAGCGCTTTGCGATTTGCGCTCGTTACGAGCGCGGCCGACGCAGCTGGAGACGCGGAGAAAACATCAGCAGCGACTCGGTGATAAAAGTGCGCGCCCGGTCAGCTCGTCGAATGTGGGAAACGTTAATAAGCTTACGGGATGAACATAATACCCGAGGTGTTAAGATGCCGCGCGCGAGTGAAGCTATGCGCGCGAGAGAAAGGAAGAGAAAGAGGGAGCGGGAGGGAGAGAGAGAGAGGGGAGGGATGGGAGGAGATAGACAGATAGATAGATAGATAGACAGATAGATAGACGGATAGATAGATAGATAGAGAGAGAGAGAGAGAGAGAGAGAGAGAGAGAGAGAGAGAGAGAGAGAGAGAGAGAAACGCTTGATAGAAAACGTATTTTGTGAATTTCAAAGTACAGCGCGGGTGTTTCTTTTTGTTTCTGTTCTTCCTTTTTCCTTGCCGGTTCGAAATATATGTGGATTTGGGAAAAGTGAACACAAGCCCTCGCGCTCAGAGCGGAGAGAAGCAGTTTTCGAGTGTGTGCGAATGCGTGTGTGCACGTGAGGCCGATGAATTAAACGCCGCTGTCGCATTCCTGGACGGCAACGTGGTTGACCGGATGCGAGCGTGCACGCGCGCACGACCGGTCGCTGCAAAAGCGATTGTATGCACATTCGGGCGATATTTCGGCCATATAATTAACAGATGAAGCCGCGGCCACGTGCGAAAGCAATTAATTGCGAGCGTCACGCGCTACCGGCAAAACGGCCTGATTAACCGTGTTCGCGCCACGCTGCAAAAGTGCTCCGCGACTCCGCAAACTGGATGGAGCGCGCCGGGTTTGGCGAGCCGATAGAGACACGAAGGAGGCGTATTGTTACGCCGACGTTCGCCCGACCGCCAACTTCCCCCGCGGTTTTCGATCGACCGTCCGTTCGCGCGCGTCCGTGTTTGCGCCTTTAATTAATTCTTCGTTTGCTCGCGTGTATCTGCCGGGCGATTCGGGGAGGGAGTTAATGCCGCGTCGCGTCACGTCGCGTCGGCAGACGCGCTCAAGAACTTTCCGTACAATTCGAACGCGACGTGCCGTGTCGAAAAAGCAGAGGAGCCGGCCGTACAGGAACGCGCGTGCGTGAGCTGCGTTAGTAGGACGACATTAATAATTCACGAGGCGAC